ATATATATATATATATATATATATATATATATATATATATATATATATATATATATATATATATACTTTTTCCCACATACATATACATACATACATATACATATATACATACATACATATACATACACAGACATACATATACATACATATACATACGTAGATACATATACGTACATGCATACATATACATACATACATACACATACATACATACATATACAGACATACATTGCATATACAGACATACATACATATACATACATAGGTATACATACATAGGCTACTGATATATATATATATATATATATATATATATATATATATCAGTAGCGCAGGAAGGCAGAACAAACCTCAAAAGAAAATAAATCTAATATACGTGCAGCAGCTGTTCACGTGGTGTTATTCCTCCTGTGTAGCTAAAAACAAAGATCTGATGTAATATAGTTGGATAGGAATGCCACCAAGTCTACGAATTCTGTTTCGTAAAGACAAAGAAAACAGTTTTAGTCAACAGTTGCGAAGGAAAGCCGACGACGGGGCTCGAACCCGCGGCCACGAGGTTAAGAGCCTCGCGCTCTACCGACTGAGCTACATCGGCAGCGACCCGAAGCAGCAGTTTGTTGTCAATATCAGCAGTTGCGTCAGCTGCTGCAGCAGCTACAGGAGCACCAGTAACTCCTAAAACCTGCAGCTACGGGGGAAAAAGCGCCACTAGCTGCAGCAGCTACCTTGGCAGCAGCAGGTAAGTTAGCAGCTGGCTCAGATTCGGCAGCAGCTGCTGCAGCTACTGCAGCAGCAATAGCTGCTGCAGCTACAGCAGCAGCTGCGACAGCAAATGCTGTTTCCCCACTAACGGGTGTTTGGGGGGAGACAGTGCTACAATCGTCTCCGTCGTATCGACAGTGCCCCAACTGTCTCCGTTTTGTCAACATTGCTACAATTGTCTGTGTCCTATCGAGAGTAAACTGAAAAATATAAATATAATAAATATCATAAGTTTCTAAGTTTCTCACGGCTCCCGCATTACAGCAGCAGCACCGGCTGCAGCAGCGCTATACATCTGACGCAGCTGCAACAGTACAACTTGCTCCCCCTGCTGCTGCTGCTGCTGCTGCTGCTGCTCCATGCACTGCTGCTGAGGCATAGTTACGCAGCTTAGTTGTACATCTTTCGGCCAGAGAGCTGCACGCAGCAATCTGCTGCTGCCGTCGCATCCGTTGCGGTTAAGGGACTATTGCTCCCCACTGCGGGTCCCCACGTCCCTCTCCATGCACTAGCAGCAGCAAAGCAGCACAAAGCACATAGCAGCCTTTTGGCTCCTCCTGAGGCGTCTCCTGAGGTGTCTTCTGCACTGCCGTTCATTTCGCGGTTACTGCGCTCGCAGCAGCTGCTGTGCATGTAGTGGCCGCACCAAAACACTACTATTTTATCCTGCTGCGGCGGGAGCTGTCTTTGCTGTTCACAATATATGTCAGCAGCGTCAGGAGCAGCAGCAGCTCTTGCTGCTGCTGCTTCTGGTGTATCGGTGGCATCTAGAGGTGTCCTAGGAGTAGCCTGCTGCGGCGAAGGACTCCGTGTTGCTGCTCCTGAGTACGCTGCGGCTTCATCATCATCTGCTGCAGCAGCTGCAGCCGCTGCTGCAGCCGTTGCTGCTGCAGCTGTTGCTGCTGCTGCTGCCTGTGAAGCGGTATAAAACTCCGTCCGCCTCCCAGCAGGAGCAGCAAGGGGCCTGCAACAAATTACACAGCGGCTACCCATGCCAGTTGCTGCTCCTCTAACTGCAGCAGCAGCAGCAGGCGAAGGTGGCGCTGCCATTACAGCTGCTGCAGCAGGTGCAGCTGCTGTTTGTCTTCTCGTGGCCTGCGAAGTCGCACTGGGACGGGCCCTGCCTGCTGCTGTTGCTGTTGTTGTTGCTGCTGCTGCAGGACGAGGTTGCAGCAATAAGGAAGCCGAAGTGAAAGAGACAGGGGCGCTGCTGGGGCAGCTCATCAGCTGCAGCGGTGTGTGTGTGTCTCTTGCAGCAGCAGCAGCAGCAGCACGTGCTGCCTTCAGCTGTCTCCGTAGCTCAGGAGAACAAACAGAGGAAGTCTCAATGCGGAGACGCAGCTGCCCTTTCTCTCCAATGCTGCTGCTACTGCTGGTATGGCTGTTGCTGCTACTGCTGCTATTGCGGATAGTGACTCCTCGTCGCCTGCGGAAACAGAGCTCCCACTGCAGTGCTGTCTTCTCTGCCTGCATGCATGCGCAGGCTGCTTGCTGCACCTCCAGCAGCTGCTGCTGCTGGTGCAGTAGCAGCGCTACACGACGCTCGATGGCTGGCAGCAGCTGCTGCACCGGCCCAGGCACGAGCTGCAGTAGCTGCTTACCCAACGACAGCGGTAACAAATACCACCGCGTTAGCGTTCTACCGTTGTTGCTGCTGCTGGTGCTGTTGTTGTTGCTGTTGCTGCCTCTTACAGGGCGAAGAGGACGAGCTGCTCCTACATTTCCTCTTCCTGATGCTGCTGCTGCTTCCCAGCCTGTGCAACTGCGCTGCAGTAGAGGTGGCCTGTCTAGGGCTTCTAATAAGGCGACAAGGAGCTCACTGCGTGAAGAACAGACAGAGACAATTAGCTGCCACAGTCCTCCCTTCTGCTGCTGCTGGTCGTGCTGCTGCACCTCATGCTGTGGCTGCATTTGCGGCGGCTGCCCGAGGTGCTGCTGCTTGTGTGGTTCTGAATACGCTGCTTGCGGAGATGGACTTTCTTCTGGTTCTGCTGCTGTTGCTGTTCCTGCTGCTGCTTGGGCTTCCTCTGCTATTCTGACGGCCTCTTCTACATCGTTGCAACGCAGCAGCAGCAAGAGCACAGCCTCTTCCTCTCTCCCCAATCGCTGCAGCAGGAAGGCAGCAGCGCGCGGTACGTCTGGTCCCACACGCAAGAAGCTGGAGCGGATAGACTGCAGCATGTCCTCAGAGGCTCCTGCTGCTGCTGTTGTTGCTTCTGCTGTTTCCCCTGCTGCCGATCGAGCAAGTGTCTCCTCTTCGCTTTCTCCTGCAGCAGCAAGTGAAGGAGACAATCCCTCCGTATCTTCCGCATCAAACGCAACTGCGCTGCCACTATTCTGTTGTTGCTGATGCTGTTGGTGCACACTGTTGTGCAGCAGCATTGCGTAGGCTTCATCGTAGTCATAGCTCCCGTCTGCAGCGCGGAGGAAATCCAGCAGCAGATGCGGCTCCAGCAGAAGATACAGCTTTATCTGCAGTAGCAGCAGCAAACAGCAGCAGCAGCAAACAGCACCGGCAGCAGCAGTAGAACCAGCAGCAACAGAGGAAAAGGCGCCATGAGCCGTAGCATCACACACAACTGTAGCAGCAGCAGATGTAGCAGCAGCAGAAGCAGCAGCACCAGAAGCAGGAGCAGCAACTATGCGCCAACCGCAACCGCTGGACGCTGTGTGTCATTTCTATCTCAGAAACGAGACAGAAATGACACATATAAAGGAGACAGACAAAAGGGACATATAAAAGAGACAAATAACGCAGGCAGAAAGGAGGCAGACACAGGGGACAGACAGGAAACACATAAATGAAGCAGAACGGAGAGAAAGGAGGCAGGGAGGAGACAGACCTGGAGGAGAGACAGGTGCTTTACAGCAGCAGCAGAAGCCTTGAATGTGGCCTTTAGGTATAAATGTAGCAACGGGAGGCAGCGGAGAAGACGAGAAACAACAGCATCGGCAGCAAACAGCAGACACCCGCTGCTGCAGCAGCACTGACAAAGAGATTTACTGCTGCTGTTGCTGTTACTGCTCCCGTCGGTGCTGTTGTAGCTGTTGTTGCGGCTGCTGCTGCAGCAGTGACAACGTGGAAAAGGCTCAGACAGCCACGGCTTCGCTGTACTAGGACGCAGCAGCAGCAGCGCAAGGGCATCGGATGCCTCCAGCTGCAGCAGCTGCAGCGCGATCTCTGGCACATCAGCAGCAAGAGCAGCAGCAGCACTCTCTACAGACGGCATCAACGTTTGATCCTCTTCTTCTACCACATTCACTTCTGTTGCTTCTGCTTCTGCTGCTACACCATTGGGAATGCTTGGAGTTGCTGCCTCGTGTGGTTGCAGCAGCACGCTGTGTATATACACTGCGCAGCGAGGGTCCTGCAGCAGCAGCAGAGCATGTGCTGAGCAGCAGAATAGCCGCAGCCGATGTGACAGCAGCACACAGGCCCGCAGCAATGGTTCCCCAAGAGGATCATCTAGGATGGTTCTACTCTCCTGCTGCTCCTGCTGCTGCTGCTGGTGCTGTCGCTCCTGCTGTTGCTGTTGCTGCAGCTCCTTCCGCTGCCCTGCGTGCTCTTGCTGCTTTTGCTGTTCCGGCAACTCCAGCGTTTGTTGCCGCTGCTGCTGTTGCTGTTGCTGCTGCTGCTGCAGCAGACGCTCATGCGCCTGCAGCGCCGACTCTTGTGGAGCTGTGGGGCCCCAAGGCGCGAGACAGTGCAGCAGCGGCAGCTGCAGCAGCCGCTGCAGCAGCTCACAGCAAACGGCAACAGGTAGAGAAGGAGAAATAGTCAGACACCGTAAGAACGCCTCCGCCTCTACTGCACCCTTCCTCGGAGGCTGCTGATCCTGTTGCGGATTTTCTTTCTTCGCCTGGTTCTGCTCTTGCTGCTGCTTCTCCTGCTGCTGCTGCTGCTCTGGCTGCTGCTCGCCTGTGCTGCTGCAAGTGCAAGCCGCTGCACACCTGAGGAGGCGGCGGAGCAGTTCATAGTAGAGAGCAACGGGGGGTGGTGCTTGTGCTGCTGCTGCGGCTGGGGTTGCTCCTGTAGCAGCAGAAGCAGCAGGTAGCTGCGAAGCAAACGCAGCAAGGGCGTTGTGCTGAGAAAATATCCCCAGCAGCTCCATCCAGTCTGAGTCTTGCTGCAGTAGCAGGTAAGGCAGCAGTGCTGCTGCAGCTTGCTGCCGCTGCTGCTGCAGCAGCAGGAGCACCGCCTCGAACCCCTTCTCAGTTGCAAATGATGCAGAGACGGAAGCAGCAGTTGAGAGCGCCAGGGGTACGTACAACTCCAGCGGCTGCTGCTGCAGCAACCACGTGACGGTATCCCGTGCATCTCGAGGCCGCAGCTGAAAACCACAGCAGCAGCAGCAGCAGCAGCAGAAGCAACGTGATTCGATACCTGCAGCGCCAGCGGTAGGAAAGGCAGCCGATATCCAGACAAGCACTAGCCATAACAATCAAGCAGCAGCAGCAGCAGCAGCAGCAACAATTGCAGCTACTCCGCCTGCAGCTGCAGCTGCACCTCTAACGGCAGCAACAAGAAGTGCAGCCGCAACTGCACCACCGGCAGCGGTACAAACAGCATAAATAACTCCAGCTGCAGCTGCAGCGCCAACAGAAGCACCGACAGCAGCAGCAAGCGCAGCACCAACAGCAGCAACAAGCGCAGCACCAACAGCAGTAACATCAACAGCAACAACAGCAGCAACACACGCAGCACCAGCAGCAGCAGCAACGACAGCAGCCGTAGTAGCAGCAGCAACTTGCATGCGCCTCACTATGAACGCCTCCGCACCGCAGCAAAGGAGACAGCCGCCTGTCGCTGCTATTGGAGCTATAACTAAACTTTTGTCTCTTCTGCTTCTGCAGTAGCTCGCACCATCGGTCTCCTTATCTCCTGCAGGGGCAGCAGCAGCAGCAGCATCTGCTGGTGCTGCTGTTTCTGTTTCTGCTGCTGCTGCTGGCAGTCTCAGCTGCTGGCGAGACAGGAGAGATCCGCTGCTGCAGGCTACCAGCGTCAGAGACACTGCAGCGTTTTCTCCCCCTGCAGCAGCAGCAAGAACAGGATCAACCGCGACTACTGCAGTTGTCGTTGCTGCTGCTGCTGCAGCAGTTTCAACAGAGACGATGCAGAGCGTCGGCAGAGGCGCAGCAGCAGCAGCAGCAGTAGATGGACTGGGGAAGATGCCCAGCACTCGGCTGCCCGTCAGTTCTACAGCAGCAACAACCTGTCCAGAGACAACTGCTGTTGCTGCTGCTGCCGCTTCTGCTGCTGCACCTGCTGGTGCTTCAGCAGCAGCAGCAGCAGCAAAGGGGCCTGCGGAGCTAACAAGGCGCAGCAGCTGCACTTCTGTCCTCCACACAACCGCCAGCAGATCGTCTTCCAGCCATTGCAATAGAGCAGCATTTGTTTCTGCTGCTGTTGCTGTTGCTGTTGCTGTTGCCGTTGTTGTTGTTAGTGGTGATGCTGCTGTAGCTGGAATAGGGATGGCGTCTGCTGCCTGCGCTGCTGTGCCAGTTGCTGCGGCACCGCTCTCTGCTGCTGCTGCTGCTGCTGCAGGAGGCAGCAGACAGCAGACCTTCTGTCTAGTGCTTAGCTGGAAGACATAAACAGCACCAGCAGCAACCCCCCATGCTATGCTGCCTCCACGCCACCTGCAGCAGCAGCAGGGACTGTCTCCTTGCTGAAGCAGCGCCTCCCGCTCTGCGTATACACCGCGGGTGTGCAGCAGCAAGCTGCCATCCTTACACCCCACCGCGGCTACTGCATGCATCCCCACCTGTTGTTGCTGCTGCTCTTGCTGCTGCTGCTGGTGCTTTGCTGCTGCCTCCCGCTGCGCGTGGGAGCCACGAAAATGAGAGAAAACAGGCCCCCCAGGAGGTCCTGCTGTTGCTGCTGCTATTGCTGCAGGTGGAGCAGCAGCAGCAGCAAATGAAGATGCCGCGAAGAGAGGTTGCCAGGACTCTGGTGAGAGGGAGACAGTGAGGACGGGGCTTTTGTACTTCAGAGACAGCATAGGAGACACAAACATACATCTTGCTGCTGCCGTTGCTGCTGCTGCTGCTGCTGTTGCTGTTGCGTTCGTTCCTCGTGCCCCCCCCCTCCAGCTGTTGCCGGTGCTGCTGCTGCTGCTGCTGTTCGCTGCTGGCAGCAGGTGCAGCAGCACAGTGCCGTCAACAGCAGCAGACGCAATAAGGCCACGGGGCCCGAGACTGATGTCGGTTATCGCTGCATGGTGACCCTGCAGCACCCAGTGCTGCTGTTGCTGCTGTTGCTGTTGCTGCAGTTGCTGCTGTTGCTGCCGCTGCTGCTGTTGCTGTTGCTGATTCAGTGCATGGGAGTCATTTACAGGAGGGCCTGAAACAGCATTCTGCTGCTGCTGCTGCTGCTGCTGCTCTCGAGTTGCCAGCGGCAGCAGCAGCAGCAGGCCGCTGCTGAATCCCAGCAGTGCACAGGAATCCGCAACAGCGCATGCAGTAATATCTCCCTGCTGCTCCTCT